GGCCGCGACCCCCACCCGCTGCCGCCCCCGCCGCCGCCCTGCCTCGGCCCCGACGACCCCGGGCGGCTGCCGCTCCTTGGGCCCCCGCGGCTCGACGCGGCCGAGGCTGGGCGCGACGTGGCTGCGTATGCAACCTCGGACTCCAGATCACGGACCGCGCGGCGGTGGCCCTCGGCCATCGCAGTCATCGTAGACTTGACGGTCTCGAGGCGGCGCTTCGCCGCCTGCAGCTGCTCCGCCGCCAAGTCGCCCTCACGGCTCGACACTTCCAACTCCTGCCAATCACATTTTGGGTCCAACAACCAGGGCAAGTTTGTATTTGGACTGAACATTCTTGGTTGGCTGATCTAGCCGTCAATGTGCGTACGATAACAGGCAGTGAATTGCCTGCTTCTTGGGGGCATGTGTCTACCAACAGCAGGCCCGTGCACGTCTGTTGCGAGGCCGGGTTGTGTTGGTCAGGTTGACGGCCGCACCACCGACCTGCACCCGCTTGGTGAGGGCCTCGCACTGGCCCAGCAGCTGCGCGTTGGCTTCCAGCGTCGCTGACAGCTCCTCCTTGAACCCTTGCACCTGACGTGTTCAAACGAGACATGGGAATTCAATTGCTGCAGGCTGCAAGTCTAGGAAGGGGTGGGGCGCACATTGTCCGCACGTTGGACACAGCGCCGCAAACGCTGCAGTCTGGCTACCCCTAAACTTGGCAGGAACACACGTGCAGCCGCGATCGCGCCGTGCCGTCGTCGCGGCCGAACCTGCGAGCGCCCGTCGGCCTCGCGAGTCTGCGAGAGCTCCAGCTGGCGCCGCGCTGTCTGCGAGGTGCGGCAGCGGCGGGCGCGATAGACTCGTACGTAGGCGCCACTAAAAGGTCAGAACAGGTCAGTATCAGAAAGAAGCCGCGTGCCGGCAAAAGTGAGGCCATCTCTGGATGCACCATCCGGATGCACTGGGGGCCAGAGATCCACAGGTCAAGCTGGGTGAGCCTTGGAAACGTGCTTTGCGCGGGGCGACGGCGATGGGGTTCGCTCCTCAACCCCTTTGAGCCGCGTCTATGCACTGGTACACGGTCTCCACTTTCCCCTGCTGCAGTCTGCAGCACGCAGCGTCATTAATGCCCATCCGCCGAGCTGCGGTCGGTGCCCCTCGGGCTGCAGCAGTCCTCACACGCCAGGCGACACGCAAGCACCGTACGTGTTCACAGCCCCGGCGGCAGCGATGAAAAGCAGCGCCTTGCCTAGTATGCGGCACGCAACGGCCCTGTGCAGGAGCCAAACCTGCAGGGCCTCGTCAGTCCGCTCTAGGGCTCCCTCCAGCGAAGCATTCTCCGCCTCAAGGGTGTCCACCCTGGGCGCCAGCGGCTGCAGCGCCGCCACCTGGGCAGTCAGGGCCAGCACGCTGTCCTGCAGCTCCCGCAGCCGCGCCGCGTCGCCGGCGGCCTTGGGGGAGGTTTGGTCGCGCGCGGTTTGCGGGTGCTTGTCGGGAGCGACTAACTCTCATTTGTAGTATGAGAGAGGGAATCGAGAGTGTAGAAAGTTGGTTGGGTGGCCGCTGACGGCTGAGCCCCGAGCCCCCCTTCCACCCACCCACACCCCACATGATAGCATCACCAGCCGTAACCAGCCAAAGCCTTCAACATTGCGCTGCAAGGCCCGCTGTACCCCGCCACCCACTCGAATTTTCGGTACCTCTGGCTGCAGAGCGACGCGCACCCGCGCGCCGTCCCGCACCTGCTGCTTCGCGCGGTCGAGGTCTGCCGCCGCCAGCTTTTTCTCCGCCTCTGCGGCGGCGGCGCGCGACTCGAAGCCCTCCCTGTCGGCCACAGCCTTGGCATACAGCAGCTGGGCGTCCCGCAGGTCCTGATATGATGACGTGAGTTTGTGAAGCGAAGACGCCGATACATAATAGGTATGACGGCATCACCTGATGGGACTGGACCGCGGACTCACAGCTGCAGCGTTGCAGCGCTCGTCTCGCCCCAGGATGCGTCGCTCTATCCCAATCGACCCCGAATCGACCCTGTGCCGTGCCGCGCGGCTTGCCGCGCCATGCAACGCGGGCTCCCTCTCCCACCTGCGCGAGCACCGCCCTCTCGTTGCTCTCTGCCGTGAGGCGGTCCTGCAGCAGCTCCGCCTGGGACACGCCCGCCCTGACCTTTGACTCCTGGGCCTGCGGGGCCAGTGCAGACGACGGGCGTCCGCACGTCTTGACCGAGTCAAAAAGGCCTTGCAGTCCAATAAACGCCCAAGGAGTCCAGCCCAGGGTTCTCTCGGAGTAGAAGGAGCGCTGCCGAAGCAAGCCGCTGCTTGCTGCCCATCGTTGCCCAGCACGTTTTTCACCCTTTGTCCACCAAAATCTTGGGCGAGGTCGTCGGCTGATCATCGCGCGGCCGCCGAGCGCCAGACCCTTGCCGAGCCCACCTTGAGGTGACTCATCACGACGTCCAGCGTGTGCTGCACGCCGCCGAGCGCGCCGGTCGCCGCCCAGACCGCGTGGTCCGAGGGGGGCAGCGCCTGCGCGCCCTGCAGCTGGGCCGTCTTGGCCAGCAGGATGGCCAGGTGCCGTATGTCAGACAGCTCGGCCTCCACCTCGCGGGCCCTGGGGAGTTTGAGGGTTTCGAGGTGTCCTTTGTTTTGCCCGATGTGGTGCCAGTGCCGAGGGGTCAAGCTAAGAGCACGGGGCACTCGAGGCTCAGAAATGAATAACACCTTGGGCTGGCGACGACCACGAATTCCGCCAGGGTGTCGCAATCGTCTGTAAAAGACGTATTTATATATATTTCCTTTCATTTGAATACTTTCTACTCATCTCACCTGCACCCTGCCTCCTCCAGCTCAGCCTGCCGCGCCGCGAGCTGGACCCCCACCTCCGCGGCCTGCGCCGCCGCCCCCTCCGCTTCCGCCCGCGCCGCCGCGACCGCCGCCCTCATCCCCTCCTCCTCCCGCCGGTGCCGGTCCCGAGTGTCCGCGAGCTCCAGCTCCCCCTGCTCCCTGGCCCGCTCGGCAGCTTCCAGCAGCTGCTGCAGGCGCAGCTGCGCGCCCTCCAGGCCGGCGACCACGGTGGTCAGCGACGCATTGGATGAGGCGAGGGCGTCCATATCGCCCTGGAAGCTCGCGATCCTGGCTGCCTTGGGATTGCAAAACGGGGCAGGCGGGCGTTTTTGAGGGTCGCCGGGGCCGCTGCAGGTGCCAGCTGTGCTCGTGCTGCCGACTAGCCAGCGGAAAAATTGCACGGCTGGCATGAAGTTTTCATTGGCGCAGCATTCGGCATGCAGTTACATGTTCACATTTTGCACTGCTATCGTCACTTGCATGATTTGCAGCGCCAACCCCTGCCGCACCTGGCCGGCACACACGTCCTGGCTCTCGCGCAGCCGCTGCGCCAGCGACGCGATTCGCTCCCTCAGGCCGACGGCCAGGATGTCGTTCGCCGTGTATTCCCGCACAGCCACGGCGAGCCGCGCCTCGAGGTCCTGCCGCGCCGCCGCCAGCTCAGCGCAGCGGCGCTCGCTGGCCGCCAGCGCGGCGGCGCCCTCCGCGATGCGCGCGCGGAGCTGCTCGGCAGCGGCGGCCGCCACGTCGCCCGCGCGCTCCAAGGCGCCGGCGCGCTGCTGCAGCTGCAGGCGCTCTGTCTCGGCCCTAAGCGCAGGGACAAGGCAGTTTTATGCGTGAAATAGCCATGTTTGAAGTCAGGCGCAGGGTGTCCAAGAGACTGGGAATGCTGGTAAGAAGGGCGTCGAGCAGAAGCGGGCCGTGGAGTGCAGAGGCCATTATCAAGCAACAAGGTTGTTTGCCCCCACCTGTACAGCAGCTCCTTGAGGCGAGTCTCCTCAGCTTCCTGCTGGCGTGCATCTTGCTGCTCATCCCTTTCCTGACGCACGTCCACATGTGCCTGCTGTGCCATGCCCTTGCTGGACGGCGCCGCCCCTGGTGGAGTGTGCAGCGCTGCGCCGCGCTACGCCCTTGCAGAAGGCCCCTTGCAACGCCTGATCAGGTTCTACCTACATTTCAACTCGATCACCTTCCGTGCTGGCATTCGGACCGCGCGTCGGTGCTGCGAAAAACGCCGATTCACGATATGCCACACGAAGCTGATTTACACGGTTGACAAACGGAATGGAGGCATACATTAAAACATTATCACCTGATCTTATAGCTTATACGTGCGTATGTAAGATCGGATGATCTTGACTGACTCACGGTGGCGCTTCAAGCCATAAGGTAGAAACTGGGCCTGGGCCACTCCAGACTGTGGCCGGCAAGAGGCCCAGCTCATATGAGAGCCCATGCCCCAACCGAGGTTCGCGGTTGGCACCACAGCGTACGTTGGCCGCCCCCATACCCGCACAGCGGCATGGTCCCAGGTGAAGCAAAAACACCCACTGCATTCAAACTGCTGCTGACGGCGGCTCCGCAAGGCAGGATCTGCAGACGCTGTGCCAGCTGCACTAGAGCACCATGCCAAACGATGCTGCCGATGCGTATCCCTTGCATGGTTGCCATGCGCGTCCACAAATCGCCCCGGTAGGCCTGCCACGGGGGAAAAGCGCCACCTGCTAGCGTCTTGCAGCGCCGACTCTGTTCAATTACAGTTTTCATGGTTGTTGGGGCACGTTTAGGACACGCCCGTGGACGTAAAGCACCTTGCAACAGGCAGGCAAGGCTGCGTCGCATTGAGGCCCGCAACGGCGGCGACGGCGACAACACAGCAAGCGACATAGAGAAAAACGAGTCACAACCACCAGGCGCCTCGAAATTTTGAGTTAGCGGCTTGGCACTACACGGCAAGCATGGGGCGAAAAATTCGCCATGCCGCAGGCGCCGAGCACCGCGGATGGTGACACAAAAGCCGTTCGCAGCAAACAAGTACACAAAAAGGGCCTCACGCGCAACGTCACTCGTCCCCGCCCTCGTCCTCCTGCTTCCCCGCGGCCGCGGCAGCCGCCGCCACGACCGCCGCCGCCGCACCTGCGGCCGCCGCCGCGCGCTCCTCCTCGGTCGCGGGCGCCGCCGGCGCCGGCAGTGCGGGCACCGTCGCCCCCTCGTCCTTGTCGCCCCCGCCGCCGCCGCGCCGCAGCCGCTGCTTGATCGTCTTCACGACGCTCTTGATCACGTCCGCCGCCAGCACGCCCACCGCCGCGCCGACGAGCAGGCTGGGCGGGTGCGCGATCTTGCGGCGCCGCAGCCGCCGCACCTGCGTCCGCAGCTGGCTGTTGTCGGCGCGAGTGGAGGTCAGCTCAGTCTTCAGGCCCTCAACCTTTTTCCTGTAGGCCTTCTGGTAGTTCTGGATGGTGCGGTTCATCTGCACATCACACAACACCGCACGACGGGGCGGCGGGACGGCGCGCGGCAGTGTTTGTGACCGAGCGAAACGTCCGCAACAGCCAGGCGTGACAGTGCTGGGCTTTCTGGATGGCAAAGCATGCATGGGAAGGGCGTGTGAGCGGCTGCTTGCTTGTTCTGGCGCAGCACGGCGTTTCAGGTGCTGTGCAGCGGGCGGCTCTTGCATCGGGATGGTGGCGCAGCTCTCCTCCGGCCGCAGCCGCCATGCCGCGCCTTGCAGCAGCTGCCGCTGCCGCTACACCCGCGCACCTGGCTCTTGGTGAGCTCGCATCGTGGGCATGGAGGAGGCGCTGCAAACCTGCCTTTTCCAGCTGAGTCGGGGTCCTGAGCGCTCTCCTGCTTCCCGCGACCTCCCCAGAGAGACATCGTGCAACGTGTATGCTGCTGGTACCCGTCAACGCTGTATAATTTTCATATAGCACACCGATACTACATGGGCAGAAGAGGAGCATGATGGCTCGTTGTCACCAGTGGGGTGACCAGCCAGTTCAACAGCTGTGATCTGATGTGGCGCGTTTGACAAACACGAACACAAACCCCCTACAGCCCTGGCGCCGGTTGTGGCACAAGAGAGCGCAACCAAAGCCGAATGCCAAGTCAGGCGTAACACCGACAGGATGGACCAACGAGATCCATGGCATGGGCAGGATGGTGGTGAGGTAGTTTGACCAAATGTCAAGTAATCACCCACACGACACAAGGATGCAGATGTTCCGCCAATTGCTTTCGGAATGTGGGTGGTGCGGTGTAGGTAACAGCTACATCCTTTGCTTAATGCATGTAGCGAGCGGTCATCCTCAATACGACAGCCTCGTTGTGGTCGACGGCGCACACCTCACTTTGCAAGCGGAAGAGAGACAATCGTATGCACCAGAATGCGCATCTAGGAAGCACCCAGTGAACTGCAAAGCGCCTCAGGAAGCAGGTGCAAAGGGCTCGGCATATCACAAATGCATTTAAAGGCGCGGCAGGCCAATGCTGGCAGCCCACGCTGGCAAGCATTCCGAGCAGGAAGCGCACGTCCTCTGAGGCAATCAGCAGATGGAGCACGTCAGGCCCGTGCCATTGCAGACGGCGGCGCCTTGAAACCTCTCAAGGCCCCGCGGCAGGCAGCCCACCAAGCGGGGGTTGCCGAACAAATTGAGTGGCGACAGGCGTGTTGCGCCCAGAGCGCCCCAGGGGGTTGGAATGCTGCCCTGGAGCTGGTTGGTGCTCAAATCTAGAGTTGTAAGGGATTTTAAGGAGGCCCAGGATGCAGGCAGTTGCCCTGTGAACCTGTTGCTGTGCAGCTGCAGGTCCTCCATTGCCTGCCAGGCCTCGCCAAAGTCGGGGCTCAGCGTGCCAGTCAGCTGGTTTCCGCTGTAAAGCAGGAGTCATGGGGGGTGAAGGCAAGGGTGCGTATGTGCATGAGCGGCCAGGCGCATGCGCACCCGGGTGTGTGAGAGAGACAAAGAGCAGGCAGCCTATCAAGCCCTCATAAACCGAGGAAAGGGGTGCGGCTGGCGGGCGCCGAAGGCGGTGCGCCGCCCGCCACCGACCTAGCCAGGCAGCATAGTCTGGCATCAGGGCAGGGCTGCGGTAGCTGGCCTATCAAAGCCGCTGGCTTTGACTGTGGCCGACCGTAGTTTCTACACACTCGTGCCTGCTCCCACGAAACCCTCAATGCGCCCGCCCGATACATGTTTCACAAGTCACCCTCCCCCCCCCCCCCCCCCCCCGGGCCCCGTGCACGCCAAAACATGTCCCTACAACCCCGTTGATCGAACCACATGAAGCGACATATAGACAGGGCAAACAGCCTGCGTTTGGCAACACTAGCACAATAATCTCACTAGAGTTGCAGCATCTTCAGCCTGCGCATCCCGGCCCACTCCTTGGGCACCGGCCCAGTCAAGTTGTTATTGTACAGCGCCAGTAGCTGCATTGCCGGCCAGGCTGCACCAAATGCATTGCTTAGCGTGCCGGTGAGCTTGTTTCCACTGCAAGACAGGGGTGACAAAGGGCCAGGTCGAGGTTTGCGTGAGCGCGCGCATGTGCTCGTTTGTGTGTGTGTGTGTGTGTGTGTGTGTGTGTGTGTGTGTGTGTGTGTGTGTGTGTGTGTGTGCGCGCGCGCGCGCGTGTATTTTGAGCTCTTGTATATTGAAGAGGAGAGGGCGACCTCGCGCAGCCGCCACGTTGCTGCCCGCACCAATCCGGTGGGGAGTGAAGCTTGGGATAAGCGCAGGCATATGAACAGTGGCTTCTCGTTGCTAACGGCTTCGACATGCGGCCGACAGTGATTGCGTGCAACACCCCCAACCTCCCTCACACCACAAAAGAGCAACATGTGGCAATTTCACATGCCCATCCCGCCCCACACATTAGTACCACCAACTTGCGACCGTGCCCTGCCACCCACCCAACTCTCAACAACAACTAACCTCCCAAAATTTTGCAAGCCACACTTTGTCGAAGAGAAAAAAACTCACTCGAGGTACAGCCACTTCAGGCTGCGCATCCTGGCCCACTCCTTGGGCAGCGGCCCTGTAAAACCTTGGGTGGACAGCTGCAGTGCTTCGATCGCTGACCAGGCCGCGCCGAAGTCTGGGCTCAGCATGCCGGTGAGCTTGTTTCTACTGCAAGGTGGTGCGTCACATGAGGCCATGGCACGTGTGTTGGAGAGAGGCACGCGCACGCGAACGCGCACGTGCGTGCGCGCCTGCGTGTGTGTTTGTGTGCGTGTGTGTGTATGTGTGTGTGTGCGCGCATGTGTGTGTATGTTTGCGCGCACACGTGACAGAGCATGCAGGCTGGCACGCCCTCATCAATCAAGGAAGGTAGGGAGGACTGACTTGCAGGCGCTGAAGCTGTTCCGCCACCCCATCCCTCCACAATCCCAGCCAGGATTGACGTTCACTGTCATGGCAGGACAGGAGTTGCCTCTTGCTGCTGGCTTCGACGCACAGCCGACCATATGATGCTTCCCCCACCCCTGCCTTGAGGAAAACCTCACTGCGCAAGCAAGCGGCGTGCCGCCGTTTCACATGTCCCCCCCCACAAAAACTTTGATCGCTCGCAACCGCGCATGCCCTCACCCCCATACTTCCCTCTCGAATGGGCCCCTCAAAGTGCAAGCCGCCTTGTCTAGTGACACCGTGTCTAGTGGCACATGTCGTTCAAACCCCTTGCCTTTGGCTCCTGACCCCCCACACACCCACAAACAGCAAAAGGCGACTGAGGACGACGCCGAATCCACTCACTAGAGAAAGAGGAGCTTGAGCCGCACCAGCCCTGCCCAGCTGCGTGGGAGTGTGCCCTTAATGCCGGGATTGTCGGTGATCCTGATGTCCTCCAGCTGGGTCAGGACGCCCCAGTCTGACGGCAGGGTCCCGGTGATACCAGTGGCGCCCAGGTCGATGCTTGTCAGCGCTGTGAGAGGTCTGAGAACACTTGCAGAGGGCAGCGTCCCCGCCAAATTGACCTGGGACAGCGGAATCTTGGCCACGTTGCCCTGGGAGTCGCACTCGACGCCTAAGAAGCTGCAGTACCCCGCATTCGCGCCCCTATCAGCCGACCAGGCCAGTGTCCCTCGCGCGTCCACCGCAGCCTTGAAACCCAACAGCGCCTGCAGTTGCGCCGCACGCGACTCCGACGGCGACAGCTTTGGCGGCGTTGGCGCGCGGGCTGGCGCTGGGGCCTGCGCTGGAGCCGGTTTGTGCCCCGGCGGGGCACAAACCACGAGCCTCTTGCCCGCCAGGGGTCTGTCCAGATCCTTCACTGTTGCAAGGTTGTCCAGCAGGAGCATCTCAAGCGGCACCCTCACGCGATCAGCCACGCCTGACAGGTAGTCGCCGGGCTGAGCTTGTGAAAATGTGGGTTCAGTGTGCTTTGATGAATGAACGCGTGCAAGTGCAAACCAGCCAAGTCGTGCACATTGCCTAAAATGCGCATGCTTCCATGCCCCCAGCAGCTCACCACCCACCACATAATAGCTGCAGCCCTTTGTCAGGTTGTGTGCAGCCTCCAATTTAGGCGGAGGCCGCTGAGGTGCTCCAGGGGATGGCCTGAACTTGACCCCAAAAGTGTCACTGGGGCTCATGACGCCCGCCTCTCCATATGCAACCTGTTATTTCATTACCAACGGCAGATGGGGGCGTTATGTGCGCAAGGTCATTGTCCTGTCAGGTGAGGATCGAAGCTTGTGCTCTGTTCCCCGTGCATGAACAACACGAGGGGAGAGCAGCCCGGCCACGACGGCAACATAACACAACTCAAGTCCTGCAGGGTGAGGCATGGCGCGAGGGTCGCCCTGTGCAAGCCGCGGGGAGCTGGGTGGCTGCATCCTTTTGGCAAATTCCCCCTGTATGTGTGCGTTGACCTCCAAAAGCCCATGTGGCTGCGCTGGGGTTGAGGCACACATTGCGCTCTGGTGCCGAGCAGCGGGCCTGATTGTGTGGCGGGGCCGTTTGTAACTCTGGTGATGGGCGTGTCATAGGCCAGGAGCCCCAATCAAGGCCGAGCTCACGCTCACCCTGAAGGTGCCGTTTTGCGCAAAACCTGGGATGGACGAAGGGTGTTGCATGCATGCGCCCTTTCTGGAACGTGCGTGCATGTCTACCTGGAAGCGTGTTGCAGCTAAGGAATCAATGTTGGACATCACCAGCCAGCTACCGTAATTAGTGACCCACAAGCTCCCACCTGGGCCCCACGAGTTGCGCGCTATCCAGAACTGGTTGACATTGTCGTACCTGATTGGAAAGGTCGGAGGGAGCAGAGAAATCGTGCTGCTGAGACTAGTCTGGTCAACTGACGCGACCAGGGCAAATGAGCCAGTCACCAAACAAGTTCAGAAGGAGGACTGATTCGATTCACATAGCTTGCCCCAAACAGCCGGCGCACCCGACCAGGAGAATGGCATGGCCCTCCTTCAATGTGCTCTTGGGAGACCGGCGGTAGACGGCGCGAGCGTTCTTGGTGTCCGCGAAAAATGGCCTGAAGTCGCTGTGGTGCCATGCCGCAAATGAGATGCGAGAGAGCGCAGGCATGAGTGCTTCTGGATGCTGCATGTAGCAAGCAAACGATACATCAGCACACACCTGCGCATGCACGCTTGCCCTGCATAAAAAATAGACGCAGGAAACTGGCGTATCACCTGTAAATATCAAAGCGTGTTGCCTGGAGAGCGCATGGCAGGACCAGGGGTACACGGGACGAGAAAGGGCAAGGTTGGCATTGCGGGCATTAGTGCAGGCGTGGGGGGCACCCTCAGCAGTGTGTGGGTTGATGCATCCTTCAGCAAACGACGTGCGCAAAAGACGCAGTGTGTGTCTACATGTGCATGTATGTATGTGTGAGTTTGCACATGCGCGTGTGCTTGTGTGTGCTGGTGTTTGTGTGTTTGCTGTGCCTGTGTTTGTGTTTGTGGTGTGTGCACGTGTCCAAACCTGACACAAGCAAGGGAAAATGCGGAGGCCGTCCCTGCATTGATTGGAATCCCACCATCCACACACACACACACACACACACACACACACACACACACACACACACACACAAACGCACGCACGCACGCACACACGCACGTGCTCACGTGCCAGCGTGTGTACAAGCAGACCACCACACGTTCACCAGCACACGCTCACGCCTGCTCACCACGGCCCCGAAGCGTCTGATGTGCCGCTGTGCTTCCCACAGCTGCGCGATGCGCACGTACGTGAACGACCCGCTTGTTGCCAGGAGGCTGGTATCTGCGCATGATTTGGCGCAGAGCACGTCCTGCCCCTCGGAATCCATGACACTGGGCTGCTGATACGGCATGCATTTCTCCAGCAGCAGCTGGCGCTTCTCGAGCTGCACAAGCGCATCCTTCAGGGGCGCCCCCGTGTAGCAGTTGGGGCGCTCGTCCCCGCAGTAGTAGAGGTCCTGCACTGACAGGGAGCCGACGTTCGCGACGGGCTGACCCAGGACGCTGGCAACAGCGACCTGCGTGAGGCAGACTCGGAGAGGGGTGCAAGGAGGCAGTGGTGGGGCCGTAGTTAGGCTTGCTGTTGGCGCAGCACAAAAGGTGGTGAACGCGCGCGACAAGGCAGGCGCGTTACGAATTCTCACACACTCACGGGCTCTCTGGCAGCTTTGGGGGCCGGAAACAGCACAACGCCAATTGGCGGCCTGTGCTGCGGAATGCAGTGCCAGTGCATAGCGCCCTCAAACCTCTGCAGCTGTAGCTGCAACGAAGGCTGTGCAGGTGGAGCACGCGCCCTGGGCTCTCGCGGGAGGGATGACGGGGAAGGGGCCGACGTCACGCGGATCCAGGGCGCTGTAGGTGGCGGGCGACGTTGCAAAGTACAGCGTCGCACCCATCTCCAGGTCTGCGTTGGTTGGGGTAGTGCCGTGACGCCAAGGGTTGGCGTACGTGGCCAATCGAGGAGTTTGGAGCTGCACAGTTGACAGCTGGTAATGCCTAACCCTATCCCACCCTGGCATGTCCTCAGGAAACCTGGGATGCTCACAAAACCATGAAAAGTGGATCTGTAAGAAAGTATGATATCGCACGTCCGGAGTGCATGCCAGCGGTTGACGTCTGAGTACAGCAACGCACTGTTTTGAACTTCAGAAGAGCAGAGGGAGTCCTTTGATGTGCCCACGCACGCCGCCTTTGGGGTCGCCTTGAGGGCCTGCTGCCAGGCTTTGGCCTTGCTCAGCTGCTTGGTTGCAGAGGCGTATGCGTCCGCCAGGCCTCTGTTGGGCGTGCTGCCTGCTGCTAGGGATTCAGCGTCCTGCAGCAGGCCCTGGCCTGACAGTCACCAGCGCGTTGATGCGGGTTCAGGGTCCGGCCGGGGCCAGGGCAAGCGTTAAGGAGTGGCAGTCGCTGGGAAGTGGGAGTGGCCACACCAACAACCACACTGTGTGGCAAGGCATCCAACTGAAAACCACTTGCGGAAAACAGCAAAGGAACATTTACCCTGCCGTTGGCGCGGCCCAGCGTCAATTCATCACATTCTTTGTGCCTCTACGTAGCTTCGTGATTTACAAACATGCCACAGTGCGGTAGTCGACTGGTATATGATAATCAGGCCGTGCTGCCCGGCTGCTGCAGCATGGTGCGCGCGATGCCATGGCCAAGGGGAGCAGCGCACCTGAGGCCGTCGCAACCAGCAACGCTAGCACAAGACTTTGGCTGGCCACGCATGACAACCGTATCCGGGTTGACCGACAACATCGCGCAGGAGGGCGTCCGGGAACCAGCGACGTGGCCATCGACCACCCTGACCCTGACATCGACCTTCGTGGCTGCGAGCCGGCAGCGCCCGAACCGGTGATCTAATGGTTCTGTGGTTTATAGAACACAAACGTGGAGACGGACGCCTTCGTGCAGCCGTCTGAAAGGAACCTGGTGAGATCAGGGCGGTGCATGTACCGTACGGTAGTGCCCCGGACTATCAACTTAATACTTGATTCTATTTGCCACCGAGCACGCTGAACGCTTGCGGATGCACTGTGATCACCACGCCAAGTGAATCCTGAACGGTTTGCGACGGGCGCACAGTTGCCTGAGTTGGGGCACACCGGCGACGACGTGTTTGTGGACACGGCTGTCGAGGCATCAGAATTCCTACTGGACAGCAATTATGTAGTGTTTGCGGAAGTAGTGTATCGCCAACGCCAAGTCATCCCCATGGGTACTCACCCCGCACCCCGCCTAGCAAACTTGTTCCTGTAACATTTTGAGCAGGCCTTTGTGGCCCAGCTGGCCACCGACGCGCACCTGGCCATAACAGGGCTGTCAGTTGGGGAGATGGCGGTACGCGTGATAGCTTACTTCCAGGACCCTGCGATCAGCGCCCCACCGCAAACCGTGGGCTGCCGTGCACATAATGCGCCTCATGCAGTCCAGTGACAACGCAGCATGCTGCTTCAATGGCCGGGCGTACCGTGTGTGCGGGGACGCGCTATGAATGCGGCCACTCTTCATGACATCGGGGCTTGCCCGAATTGGGCCTGCCCCTGCCTCCCAGCCTGGACGCTTTTGTCTGGTGTGGCTGGCCGCGGCTGCGGCGCGGGTGACACATTGGGGCAGTATCTGGGCACCCATGGGCGAGAAGCTGATGCACGCCGTCGCGGCTTTGCATGTATACATGCAAGGTCAGCGTGGGGCATACGTATGTCCCACGCACTTACAAGGCTGCCTTCACGCCACCCCTGTAAGTGATATGGCAGTACAAAAGCTTTGCTGGCTGCTTGCTGCTGATGAGTGCTGCACACAAACTTCTTACAGCGTTGACGCCGATTGTGGCACAGGGGAGCGCTGGATGCCAACTTAGGTGTGGCATCAACAGGATTGCGGTCATAAAAATCGTTTGGTAATATTCTTTAGGCGTCAAGTACTCACCCACCAAACACAAGGACGCAGCTGTAGCGCAAATCGCTATCGGAGGAATGTTGAACAGTAACAAACAAGCACACACAATACACACACTTACAAGACATCACAACGACCTCATGCGCACCGCGCCGCGCACATCAAAATCGCCGGCCGGGCTAGATCACGAAGAGGCGCGAGCGCGGGCGCCCCTCACCGCCATGCCTGCCGGGCGGCGCGCGCCGCCCCCCAAAGCGGCGCCGAGGCCCTCACGTGACCGTGAGCACCTCGGCGCCGTTGGGCGTGATGAGCAGCGTGTGCTCCATCTGCGCCGCCAGGCCGCCGTCCGCTGTCACCACTGTCCAGTTGTCCTTCCACTCCACCATCTTGGGGCTGCCCTCCACCAGGATCGGCTCGATCGTGAACGTAGAGTTGAGCTGTCGTGCGCGCGAGGATTGTCGTTCAGCGGAGGGGCGGGGGGCGTGTGGGCGCAGAGGGCGGGCAGCTCCCGCCGCGCACACGCGGGGCCGCCCAGGATCATGGCGCTGCTGACGCCTACCCCGCGCGCACTGCCAACGCAGCCGCCTGGGCCCCCGTGCCAGCCAGCGCAGCGCGGCCGCGCCGAAGAAGTCGGTGTTGCTCACGACAGCCCCGCCCCAGGATCCACGCCGCCCACTGGCGCGCGAGCCCAACCCCATCGCCTCGACCCCCTCCCGCCCCACCTGCATCTTGTCCATGTCCAGATTGCGCACGTGCTGCACGTGCGGCCGCGCGTGGAACACCTTGCCCACCCCGTGGCCGATGAAGTCCTTGGACACCTGGAACTTGTGGCGTTTGGCCACCTCCTGCACAGCCTCACCGATCTTGCGCACCGGCACGTCGGGGCCGCAGATCTGAGGAGGGAGGGGGCGCGTGAGATCCCTTGAGCCCTGCGGCCTCGGCCTCGAAATCCTCAACCCCGAACCTGGGAACCTGGGCCATCCGCTTTGGAGGCTTGGCTTGCAGAGGGGCGTGCGCGTGCGCATAAAAGCGCGATGAAACGTGGTCGGCCACGCGGCCAGGAAAGGCGCACGATTTCAACAGGTTTGCCAGGCGACTTGCAACGCAACGCCAAGCATTTAGGCGTCAACCCTGTGCCCGCACTGCGGCGCGCCTGCTCGGCGCCAGTCCCCACCATTTCGCCCTGTGCCGTGCCAAAAGCAGGCGGCAACACGACCCGGCCCCACCCCAACGCGCCTTGATGGCGGCCTCAAGCGCCTCCCGCGTCGCCTCGCAGAGCCGCTTGGCGGTGGGTGACGGCGTGCCGACATAGAACATGGCGCTGGTGTCACCATGGTAGCCATTGAGGTAAACAGTGACGTCGATGTTGATGATGTCACCGTCCTTGAGCGGCCTGGTAATGCGGCGCCAGATGGTTGCAGGATGAGCAGGGCGGAGGTGGCGCGTGAGCAGCACGTTGGGTTCAAGCAAACTCTCAGAAGCCCCGAGACGCTGGCGACTCGTCGCACATGCCCCCTCCCTGCTGCTCCGGCGCCGGCGCATCGACGCTGCTGCTGCACCGCCCCGCCGCCGGCGCCCGCACCGCCACCTCTGCTGCCGCTGTGCGACCGAGGCCCACCTGCTGTCTGGGATGCCGTGGCAGAGGCATTCGTTGACGCTGGTGCAGACGCTCTTGGGGAACTTCCCATAGTTCAGGGGGCTCGGATAGGCGCCCGCGGCGATCACCATCGCGTGCACCGCGGCGTCGATCTCGTCCGTGGTGACGCCGGGCCGCACCAGGGAGCCGGCGTGCTGCAGGACCTGGGCGGCGAGCTTGCAGGAGGCGCGCATTTTCGCGATGCCCTGTAGCGGGTGGGTTGCGGCGGGCCGCAAACAGGGCGGTCTTGAGACAGTCTAGAGGAGGGCGTGCCCCCGCCCGCGGGCCACGACGGGTTCATGAAGCGATTCACACATCAACAGCTGCCTGCGGCAGCCAACAGTCGAGCAGGCACGCCTGGGCTGCTCGTCTGGGGTCGGCGTTGCCGGGCACACGGCGCTGGCCGCACGGCCTTGGGCGCAGGCTTGGATGAGGCCTGGTTTGGCTATGACAGCGCTAAGCACCTGCTCGTCGTGGATTTCAAAGCGGTTGTTGAGGCCTGGCAGCATCCCGGAGCTGGCATAGGGCGGCAGCTGGATGTGCGGCGGCACATCGCGCTTTGGCGACAGCGTGTGCGGCCGCAGCGGCTCGCGGCCTCTGGTGTGCAGCCGTGTCGAGTGTGTGCACGGGTGCGAGGCATGTGTGGTCTGGGCTTCCTCAACGGGGTTGCGAAAGTGCTCAATGCGCATTCGTGACGACAACGCCTGGTGCCAGGAGGGGGCAGGGACGCGCAAGGTGCCGCCACAACAGCGCAGCAGCAGTGCAACAAGCAGCGGCGCGCGCGGCCTCACGCACTGCAGCAGGTCCTTAGGAGCAGCCGGCTTCATTATATTGCCGAAACCTTTTGCTTTTGCGTCCACCTGCACTACGGCTGCCCGCTGCACGCTCGCATTCCTGCTCCACTTGTGATGGTGGCGCATGAGCACCCCCTGTGACCTCAGCATGTCTGATATCCGCAATTAATGCCGTAAATTGCTCGTTGAGATTCAAGCGACCAGATCTCCGTATGAGCCGCCCGTTGCACCCCGTGGGCACCGTCAGCAAGGAAACAAATTGTTGCGAGTCAAGTAAGGCGTCCGCATGTCTTGAAGGTTCGGAGGTCTGCCATTGGACAGACACCACCCGCCGCAATGGGGCACCCGTGTCGTGTGTCCCGCCCAGTGGGTGACAATTGTGGAACCTCAGGTGTGGCATGGTGCCTGGCCATCTATAAAGATGTCCGCACCCAGCAGCGCTGTGCTAACAGACACAAATGTAAACAGGTACGATCGGGGATACCCCAAACACTTCGAGCACATTGCTGTTTGCCAAATCTGTTGTGCGCGGTGCCTACGGTGGTGACCACTCTTGATGCCCCACGGTAATCGACCCGCGTCACTGCATGCATGATACGACGGAGCTTGTCTGTGCAATGCAAGTGGTGATATGATAGGCCCCACCAACAGCTGGTTGCTGCCAGAGGAAGGATGCCCGGCGGCTGGTGCATCCAAAGGTGCACGGGGCACCAACACACTCTTCTAGCCGACCCCACGGGTACTCACCTGCGCAGACACGGAAGGAAATAGAAGCACTCATGAAGTTGAACTCGCCATACGCTGCACAAGCCATGCAGAGCGTTCCTGTAAACGAGTTTCAACAACCAGGCCGGGGACCAATGGTGGCCTTGATGCGTGTCGGTGTCCTGTTCCTCCTGGGCGTTGTGACACAGTGCATGCATCTGTAACGACAGCCGCATGCTGAGAGACTGGGGCGATGCAACCAAGCTTGCAAGGCTGGAGCTGACGCAAGTCTGCTTGCATTGCACACAGTTCAACGATGCCCATCCCGGGATGGACCCCTGCTTGTTGCATGCACAAGGGAGCCTTGCTTTCCAACGGCGAGGCACCTTACACTTTATCCGGCCGCAATTACTTGGCCTGACAAAACAATTGACAGTGCTCACGCAATCTATTCTCTCAATCCGCTGATGCCCTGCACCAAAACCTCGATCCTTGAAAGGGCACTTCTGCGCTCTCGTGCGCACGGCCGCTGTGGCCGGCATGTCATGAATTTACGACGCAGGGTACAAAGCAGGTGGGCTGGGGTTCAAAAGAAAGGCATGCACTCTCTGGAAGATTTCAGTGGGTTTCTCATGGGAACCAGGTGGTTTGACCGATTGCTGGTGGTGGCGCTTGGGGGCGCGCGCAACCTTCAGCCCGCATGTGGGGAACGTTGTTGGAAAGAATTTGGGACACGAGTCATCTTCTGGCGAAACCTCGTTCGCACTGTTCGCCACGCAGCCCTGGTCAAGGTCCCAAAAAGGTTGTAGGGAGCACGCGCCCCCCTCCTTGCGCCCCTGCCTCCTCATGGCGCCGCCGCCTTGCAAGGCGACACGCCCAGCGCCGCCGTTGTCGCGGCGGCCGCCATCGCCGCGACCGCAGCGCCGGCGTGCTCGGCCTGGCGCCGGCATGCATTCAGCTGGTGCGTCAGGGAGGCCACCTGCAGCCTCAGGCTTGCAATCTCCTCTGCGGCACTGATACTGCCCCTTCCGTCAGCGGCGCCCGCGACGCTCTCACCCTGCTGCTCTGGCCCGCCCTTGCTGCCCTCACACCCAACCGAGCAGCTCGCTGGGGCGCTGCAGCCCCCGCTGCCGTTATAGGTGCACTCCTTGCCGCCGCTCGAGACCTGGAAAGCCCCGGTCCCATGGGAGGCTGGGACCTGACCCTTCCGGCCGCTGCTGGCCTCCAGGCCACTGCAGTGGTTGTGAGAGTCCACTCTAGCACTCTCCACGTCCTCGCCTGACGGATGCTGCTGTTTCTGATGCTGCTCCTCCTGCTGCTGCTCCTTTTGCCGCGGCTGCGCGTCCTGCTGTCCCTCCTGCTGCTGCTGCTCTGTCTGCTGTGCCTCCGGCTGCTGCTGGTCTGCCTGCTGCCTCTCCTGCTGCTGCTGCTGCTGCTGGTCTGCCTGCTGCTCCTTATGCTGTTGCTGCTGCTGTCCCTCCTGGTGCTGTTGCAGCTGCTGCAGCTGCTCCTCCGTCTGTTCTGGACCGGGCGCCTGGCCCGCTTCTGCTGCTACGTTCAGCCCCTTATCTACACAAGCCTCCTGCCACTCTTGATAGCCATTGCCTGAAGGCAATGCTGTCTGACCTAGCTGCTGCAGCTGGCACTGCAATCCAAACTCCTGCTCCTGCTTGTGCTCCTGCGCTGGCCGCGCCTCCTGTCCTACATTGGGCTGCGCCTCCGCCTGCCCACCCTCCGCCCCCCCTTGGCCCGACGTCTCTAAAGCCGTCCAGGCGCCCGGCGGGCGCTCATCCTGCCAGCCGCCCCGGCTCCACCCGTCGGCCTGCGCCTGCCCGTCACCCTGGCCCCACCCTCCCTGCCCGCCGTCGCCCCACTGCAGCTGCTCCTGAGCAGCCGCCCAGCCCTCCGCCGCCCACTGCGCCTCTGTGTCGCCCCAGCCGCAGCCCCAATCGCTGCCGACCTCTGCCGCCGCCGCCGCAGAGGCGCTCGGCTCGCCGCACCACTGAGTCTCCTCGGCGTCCTCGGCGCCCTCCCCGCCCTCCGCCGCGCGCTGCTCCTGCTCGCCCGGCTTGCCGGCCGCGCTGCAGCGCACCAGCTTGTCCCAGGTTAGCACCCCAGGCTGCCGCCACAGCGGAGGCGCAAGCCGCGCTTGCTCACCCCGCGCGCACGCAGGCACGATGCTGCTGCCCGCTGCCTCATCACCGCCGCCGTCCTGGGCCCAGGTGGTGGCGCCGCCCAGCGCCCCGACAGCGACCGCGCCCACGGCACCCGCCGCACAGGACGCGGTGGCGGCGCCCTGTCGCGCATGGGGCACCAACATGGCAAGGCATGTGATGTCATCCACTTTCCCTGAGCCAATCGCCTGCAGCAGGTTGCCGCTGGTGACGGACTTCTCATGACGCCTGTACACGAGGCATGTGCGTGTGTGTGAGGGTGGTCGCGTGTGTGTGAGGAGGGTCGCGGGGTGTCCAGATAGCTGAGGGGGCAGCAGTAGGCATCAGGGATGGTGACGTTCTCCGATCCATAAAGGAAGCATCATGATGTGTGGCATGGTGTACAAAAGGCAGGCATATTTGAGTGCCACCTGGCACTTTCGGCGGGACGATAGGGGGATCCAGACCAACGTAGATGTTTGCAGCAGTGGCAATGCAACTGTTGGCAGGAGTGGGGAAGCGCTGGAGTGCGGTGCGCTGCGCACCTGATTGCGCGGTCCACCAGCCCGAAGGGCGACACGAACTGAGATCAGGCGGGTGGGCGCAGCGGGGGGTCGTGAATTTGGATTGATAGAGGCCCACCATGGTTGGGGTAAAGGCGGTCGAGGACCTCTGCGGATGCGCACCCCACCCCCTCCCCCCGCACAACAGTACGCGGCGCACAGCCGGCAGTCAGGCAGAGCCGGCCGCCTGCCTGTGTGCCTGTCGGGGGCAGGGCCCACCTGAGGGTCTGTACTGTTGATTTTGGCTGCCATTGCGAGCGCCTCCGCAACACCCTGTGCAGATGGCCACGCCGCCGCCGCCGCCGCCACGCCCAAGCCGCCGCCACCGCTGCCGCTGCTCAGGCTGCTGCTGTTGCTGCTCGAACGGCCCAACGCAGTGCAGCCGCTCTCGCAGCTGCTGGCGTCGGCGCAGCCGCCGTCGCTGGGGCCCTGGGGGCGCGTCTCGGCCGCGCCTGGCCCATCAGCGCTGGGCTCAGTGGCACCTGCGTCAAGCGCGCCCATATCTGCGCCTGCCCTGGCCGCAGACAGCTCTTCAGCATTACCACCGCCCTGAGCCCGCCGTGATGGGTCGCTCCGCCCCGCAACGGCCACTGCCGCAGCGGCAGCTGCCGCCTCGGCCTCTGCGGCTGCGAATTGCGATCTGACGATGGCTGCCAGATCATGAAAGTACAGGTTGTCCCAAAGCCCGTCAGACCCTGGTGAAGCCGCCGTGGCATGGGCGCCACAGCAAAGTGTGAGATTTTCAGGGGGTGCTTGAACAGGGGTAACGGCAAAGGCAGCGCTACCCCGATCATATAGGTGCGATCAACCATCCAGCAGTCATGGGACAAAGGCAGCACTACCCCCGTCATGTAGGTGCGATGAACCAACGGCCATGGGACGAAGGGGTGGCTTCTTCTAGACCAAAGACGCACAGCGCAGCAACTGTGTCGCGCACACACAACGCCTGCGCGAACTTTTACATGCAAGTGCACCGCCAACGTTCAGCCCCTGCGCCGGATCGCCACCGGCGGCCCGCCCTGCAGCAGCCATGATGACATCACCTACCCAGCACGATGAGATCACCCGGCTCGACGTCAAAGTTTATGGCCTCTGCGGAGCGCAGCACCTCCTCCCCGCACCACGCGCCGCCCTCAATCTGGACCGGACACTGCGCGGCGCCGAGGGGCGAGGGATGGCATGCAGCGAAGCAGAGGGTTGGCAGCATGCGAAACACAGAGCAGGAAGCCTGCGGAGCACCACGCCCGTCGCTGCATGCGCGCATGCGGCAAGGTGCGCCTTGCATGATGTTCAGCGCGTGCTGATCGGCTGGAAACCCACTCACGTTCCAGTAGTGCTGCTGGGTTGTGCTGGCTGGGGCAGTATTGCAGCGAGGGCAGGGCCGGAAAGCGGAGCAGCAGGGGAGGGCAACTTTGGGAAGGAGCACATGATAATATTTTGGGTGGCAGCAGGCCTTGCTGCCCTTCACAACCAAGCACGCCTGCAGGGCCGCATGCAAGGACACGGGTAGTGATACAAACCCACCCACCGAGCACGATGCGGGCGTCGGCGCCGCCGCGCAGCAGCACAAAGCCCGAGTCTCCCTGGAAATGGCAGGAAGAGGGAAGATGGAGGGGCAGGGAGTCGAGACGTGCGCTGCATGGCGACCAGCTTTCACTGCCTGGAAAGCCCTGAAGGGACAGACGAGGAAGGTATTGCGCGGGCCACGAGCAGGGCATGACAGGTGAGCAACCGGGTGAGAGAGGTGGCTCACAAGGTTGAGTGCAGACGCGCTGCGGTAGTCGGGCCCGAGCGCCACCACGCATGCCGTCGATGCGCCCGGCAGCTGTGTTTTCGCCGCGCCGTCTCGCACGGCTGTCTGCAAGCGCAGCCGCGTGGGTGAATGGCAGCCACTGAGAACAGGTCGCAGTGCAGTGAGGGAAGCTGGCCAGGATATGCCCCCATCAATCAGGGAGAGACGCCAACCAAATCCACAGGGCTGCCCGAGGCTGGCTGCTGCGGCCGATCACATACAGTTGCGGATGCCGCCCTGTCGCGACAAGATGACATCACCGGCCAGCCGCCGCACCCGCAGCTGCTCGCACTCCCAGCAGGGCAACTCCAGGGCGGCGACCACGTTGGCAGACAGCGCCTCCACATAGCGCGCAACACTCATTGGGGAGCCCTGCGCGCATTCACAGGCGCATAGCAAGGCGACGGCATGCAGAGGCTGTGTGAGGCATCGCCTCGTTGAGGCCCCAGGAGAGACCTGCCTGCCCTGGGACATGCTCGGTAGGTGCTGCGAGTTGGATGGGAATCGCCAACAATGAATGGCTCGCGACCGCCATTCACCCCAATGGGGCGATGATGGCCCAGCTGCCGTTTGTCGTAGGAGCGTGTCACCTTGATTCTGCTGCCGCCCACGCCGTCCAGCACACCGATCACGATGCCGCCGGCATCGCCCCCTTTCATCAAATATGTGTCTTCACAAGCCTGCGGCGGAAAGGCAGGCGTGGCCGGTTAAGATTGCGTCAATCCGCCCCACGGGCCACAGCGCGCGCCGTGACAATTGCTGCCGACTACCCTGCCTACCTTGCGGGGGTGCCCGTGGATGACCATGCCAACGTCAACCATGTTATCCTCGTCACGAGGCTCGCTAGCCGACATGGCGCGTGCCGAAGCGCAAAGAGCGCTGGCGCAGATCAGCGGGAGTGCTTCTCGCTGCTGAAGGACTCGCAAGATACTACTATACTATCACTGCTCAGGATGACACACGCCGGCGAGCGGGCTGCATGACAACCACCGGCCACACCGCGTGCAACGCGGCAAGAGTGTCTGCGAAGGAAGAATATGACGGCTCGCAGGACGTCATCGAATGCGATGTGCCTTTCATGACATACGCGTCAGCTCTACACGGCGCCATGCCTTTCCATGTTGCCGATTGCGGTCATCATCAGTCACGCCTGGCGTTCCAATCACCAAGCTCGTGCTCGCACCTGCAAACAGTTGGCGTACGGTGGCAACACGCAAGTTAGCCAGAGGCTTGGGAAAATAGTGCATTTCGTGCGGCTGCTGTCTGCACATAATCCTAAATGGGTGTCTGGCAAGGCAGGCCCTCTGGCATCTGGCTGAGGAAAATTGACCGACTAGCCGCCGCCCCTATCAAGTAAATCGCGAATGTAAGACAGCCAAGTAGTTGTGGCAGACTATGCCAAAGCGTTGCATGCAAAAGCACGTTACTGCTTACATGCCAATAGCCGCCTGACCTCATTGTGTGCAACAGCGGAGTGCAACATTTGCATGGCAATGTGTGCCTGTGTGTGCATGTGAATGCACACACACGCAACATCGCTGCTTGCATCAACTTTGTGTGCGATGAACAGCATCACAAAGACCTGCAAGTATTGTCTGACTGCAATGCGTCAATCCCAACCCACAGAGTGCATCAAGCCGTGCGTCAAGGGTTGCCAACGAAAATCATCCAGTAAAGCTGATTGTCAGCACCCCTGGCAGCGACCCCATCAACTCCAGGCACGCCTCCCATGGCACCACATCCGCATGCGCCGCGCCGCCGCCCGCACCATGCAGCAGCCGCGAAGGCAGCCTCACATCCACCCGCCGCAGCGCCTTGGGGCGCACCTCCGCGAGCGGCGCGAGCATGCGCCGCAGCACGCCCTCCCAGGCCTCCACCTCGCCCTGTCGCGGCTCCTTAAACGTCAGCTGCAGCTCCTCGAGCCGCTCCAGCGCCGGCAGGCACGCGAGCGCCCGCTCCGGTTCGTCCTCCTCGTCCGGCATGACGGCCAGCGCGAGCGCCACCCGCCGCACCGTCCGCGCCGAGTCCGACGCCGCCACGACGCCGAGCAGCGCGCCGGGCTCGATCGCGAGGCGCAGCTCGAGCCGCTCGAGCCGCAGCGACGCGAGCCACCTCAGCAGCAGGCCACGGTCGCCGCCGCGGACCTCCCGCGGCCGCGTGCCCTGGGGGTAGTCCAGGCTTAGCTCCTTCAGCGCGGACAGGGTCTCAAGGAGGTAGGAAAAGGGGGCGTAGTTGGCTTCGTCGTCGAGGGCCAGGGGATGGTAGTGCACCTTGGACAAAGTTGGGTGGTCCAGCAGGGGCCTGACGTTGAACCTGGGGGTAGGGTGGGGGCAGGGGAGAGGTGAACCACACGCCGGCGAGGGCGGCGGGAGCACACCGCGTGTAACCGGCGAGGCACATGCTGCACAAAACGGACGCGCTCGAACCCATGGTCCAGGTCGGCCCGCAGGCGGCAGTGCGGCGGCTGCTGGCGGGACAGTGTGGCGGCAGCGCACTTGCTGATGGGCTCGTGCCGCAGAACCTCCAGC